AAGAAAGCAGTTTCACGTTGGACAAAAACCTGCATGTGCAACAGGCAGCATTTAGTTCAAAACAGTTATCCTGTTCTGCATTTAACAGCTACATTTCCAAAGTGATTCGACAGTTCGGATAACATTATGCAACTTAAACATCACTAGTTCAATATGATAAACAATGACATGAACATTACTCATAAACACATTAACCATTACATCACCTTTTACTCATTAACATCAGATTGTACCTGCATTTCATACTGACAAATAAATACTTTTTCACTCTCTATCAAATTATCAGTATACAATCGCATTCATGAAAGTTTACACATTTCAAAACGTGTACTCACCAAATCCAAGGAAAATATATATATCAAAAATATATATATCAAATCCTCTCTGATGATCTCAACTTTTACAATGTTATTCTGCAGCTCATCTCAGTCACGAGCCAGCATGAAACTGAAGCAAAAAAGTGGCTGGAGAATATGAGTAATTGTGGTAACATGTAAATAAATTACATATACTGAAGGATTTTATATTTTATTGTCACACTTTAATGGGTAAAATAATGGACAAATCAAACTTGTTAGGCTTTTATTTGCACATGTGACAGAATCAGTTAGGTGATTGACAGTTGTGGTGTCCTATCAGAGAAGAGTATGGGCTATTTAATGCTGGTTGGCTGTACCCTATATATGTGTACCCTGAGCTAGAGGATTCCTGAACCGCTGAGACCTCACAGCCCATTGCTTCACCCAACGGTTCATTACTCGAAGCTTCATTCACCATTGCTCACTAGTGACACCTAGCTACTGTACAAAGAAGTAACAGACAAATTAATCAATTCTGAACCAATGACCCGAGCAGACATTTGATGTCTATCCCCCTAAATAAATATTTATTTATTTTCTTCTCATTGTTAATGTCTGTAACCTTTCATTTGCAATAATAAAAAGACCTGAGCAGACATTTGTCCATTGCCTGGGTTTAAAATAAAATATGTATCTTTATCTGTCTGAATTTACTTTTGCAGAGACAACTGTCACACACAGTTAATTAATTTTTCATAAACTGTTTGGAATGGATAGTGACAGTATGACACTGTGTTGAGTGTAATGACTGGAGTGTGTTTAATAAAGTAAAGTGCACAGAATAGTTAAGAATTGTTTCTGGTGTGTTTTGTGCAGTGAACTGTTATAGTTTCAGTGCAGTGTTGTGCTTATGGGACTGGGCATATAGAGGAGCAAACTGCAACACTGCAGATTGGGGTGGGAGAAGGAAGGATTACAATAGAAACAAAAAAGTGTGTTGGGGTTTAGGCGCATCCTCTTTTGCAAGGAAAAGATCCTTTCAACAGGAACAGAGGATGCAGGGGAATGCCAGTGCCAGTTGGTACAGCCGATCACTTCCTACAGTATACCGCTAAAGCCTTCGGTCTTCGTAACGCTCCTGCCAGTTTTCAAAGGCTTATCAACGGCATTCTTGAAGGTGTGCCTAATTGCGTAACACAGTCTCATCCCAAAAAGTCATATAACTGACGTTTTGGGACGTCTTTTGACCATACGTCAATATCCGCCTTTTTAGGGCCCCCTTAAACGTCGGTAGATGGCGATCCCGGGCCGTCATACAACTGACGCTTTACCTTTAACGTCAGTTAGGTGACGGGGTAGGTTTAGGTCTGGGGTAGAGTTAGGATCCCATAACCTCATCTACCCACGTTTAAGGGGCCCTAAAAAGGCGAATATTGACGTATGGTCAAAAGACGTCCCAAAACGTCAGTTATATGACGTCTTGGGATAAGACCGGGTTGAATTGCGAGGCCTATTTAGATGATTTGATCATCTAGTAACCCACGGCCTTCGCATGGGGCCCACCTTTCTACTCTGTTTCGCAGACTATCAAAAGCTAATTTAACCATCAATTTAGCTAAGTGTGAGTTTGGCCAGACCACTGTGGTATATCTGGGTAAACTAAAGTGGTTGGTCGTGGGCATGTTTTACAGATACTAGACACGTGACTTTCAAATGAAAAATTGGCATCAAAGAGCACACCCCTCCGACGACAAAGACTTAACAGAGCAGCCATCAAGTGTTAGACAGTATTCTAGGTTTTTACATGTGGACATTTTTTGTCCAATAATCAGAACCTCTGTTTTTTCTTTTCAGAATTTAGTAGTAGGAAATTACTAGTCATCCAATTTTTATATCAGCTATACATTCTGTTAATTTTGTGAATTGGTGAGTTTTGTTAGGTTTTGAAGAAATATACAGCTGGGTATCATCAGCATCAGTGAAAGTGAATTCCATATTTACCAATGATATCTCCTAATGGTGGCATGTACAGAGTGAACAGAAGCGGTCCTAGTACTGAGCCTTGTGGTACGCCATACTGAACTTGTGATCGATAAGCCCTGCTTAGTTTGAAGGTGTGCTACATCTGGACTTCACGGAGTCAAGCTGCTCCTGATTTTTTTCTGCCTACCCAAAGCCAGTTTCTCCCACCAGAACATTTTGTTTTGTGTACTGCTGTCTTTTTTTTCCATAAGTCCATTTTCTCACTTTCCCATTATCAAGCACTTTTCTATCTGTGTGAAGACTGAATCGTTTTGGAGGACCTTGATGAATCAGAGTTGTTCTGTGTGGTTGAAGATTTGGCTGTCTGTAAAATAAGGAGGCAAATGTTTTTTTAAAAAAAATTGCATTGAAGACTAGAAATTCCCATGGAAATACAGACATTTTCAACATGTTCATATACATCTAAAGACACATTATTTTAAACGGGAAGTCCATCCAAATAATTTCATTTAAAAAATGTTAAAGGAGAACTCAGGCACAAAATGAACCTTTGGTCTAATAAAACATCGGTACCTAGTCAATCATTCTCTGAGATTTGTTTTCATGATAATCGAATGTAAAGAGTTTTATCTCTAAAAACTGTTTAGCGTATAATGCTAGTAATGGGGGCATTTAGAAAGTAAAAAGAAATCGCTAGTTTATACCACTAACAAGGCTCAAAATAGCCCCACACTAACACAGTAACATAATGAGGGTCCATACATGCAAAACGAAGCATTGAGAACTTCGTAAGTGTACAGATCATTTAATAAGAAGATATGTTATAAAGACAGTTCACTTCATGTATACAGACAGGAGCCATCTTAGAAAACAGACTCGATGAGTCGATCCCCTGCAGTGAGAACTGAGAAGTGAGTGCTTCACTGTTTCAGGTCACTGTTCTGTGTGCTCTGGCACTGGTGATGGGTCCCATTTCCTGAAAGAGCAACACACGTGTGTTTGTGGTTTTTTTTTTTCAAGATGTCATTCCATCCATGCATTTCTGGGTGCAGTAGGGCTCTATCCCCCCTGTCGGTTACAACTACTGCATCACGTGTTTGGGCTTAACCACCTCTTGGGGATAACTCATGTTCCCACAGCAGGGATATGAGTATCTCGTTGTTGAGATCAAGACTCGCATTTGTTTGTGAAGGTGGAGTCCCTACTCCGATGCCCTGCTCTAGTGTTTCTTCTGGGACAACTTCCCAGAAGAAGGCTAAAGTGAATTCCTGAGCGGGCCACTGAGCGGGGATGGAGGAAGGAGCTCTTGGAGATAGTACCCGATCCACTCCCTCCACCCGCAGGAGGGCCGAGTGGAGTTCTTTGTTTTTGTGTGTGTCTGTTCCGCTGCTGACTCACAAAAAAGACATTTTTAAACAACCCACATTTTCAAAGAAAGAGCAATTTCCTCTTTTACTGGGCCCCAAGAGAGCCAGACTGTCGGTGTGCGACCCTGTAAAGCCTTTCACCCCTCATCCCCCTCTTGAATCACCAGCCGGCAATTGGGTGCGTTCGAGGACCCAGTCATGTCTTCTCATGCGCCCCCTGCCATAATGTGAAGACATGTAAGGCTTGCACTGCACACTCAGACCCCGCTTTGGGCCGCCTTTGGGCTTTCTGAGCTGAGTCCCTATCCTATGTCTCGCTGCCCCACCTTGAGTACGTCTACGGTGCCCCTGATCCCCCTGGCCCGGTTCATAGATGCTTAAAATGCTCCCAACTGGTCCAGCTGGCTGTTCCATACCAGAAAATAAGGCCAATAAATAAAAAAATAAAATAAAAAACAATAAAAATAAACCAATAAAATAAATAAACCAATGCCTCAGAAGATTCTGACTCAATTGGAGGAGATGGCGGGTGGTTTGCAAGATGTGAGCGGAGCGTAGACCGCCTTGATAATTGATGTATGCAACGGTCACAGTGTTGACCGTTGACTGCAGAGGTGCTCATCAAGCAGAGGTACATGCTTTTGAGGCGTCTCAGAGCAAGGTGTACTGCTAGCAGCCGATGTGCCAATGCAGTTGGGGGCCCATCCAGATCGCTGTACGTGCCCAGCCGGTGGTGGAGGCATCTGTGGAGACCACGGCAAACCTAGGGGCACTCCGGGCTGGAGAAACGAAGGGTCTGACTGAGGGTTTGGCAGCGGGCCGGGGTGATTCTCATACGGAGCATGTCTCTCTGCCTACTTAAAGTGTTTTAAATGTCTGTTGTCTTGAATTGATTTCTTTATTTACATTTTTATTTTATTGATAAAAAAATCTTTCATTTTAAAAAAAGAAACTGAAATCAGCAGGAAGTTATGCAAACATTGACATTAAATCCTGTTTACATTGATCACATCCTGCATGGTCACCAATAAATGTCTGATTATACTGTGGCATGTGAAGCTGAACAGCACCACCTGTGTACTCAAATAAGATAAGATTAGAATAAGTCAGATATTACAAATAAACTTGTAAAGGATCATCATTTCGTTTATTGTAAGTCCATCCATTCTCCAAACCACTTGTCCTTTAAAGCCCAGATAAGATTTAACAAATGGAAGAACATGTGTTAGAACATTAGTTGAGAATGTTCCCTGTTAGTATGGTAGTATGGTATAATATATAGTATGGTACCTGCTTCTATTAGGATTGCTCATTCTTTCAATTTTTTAAGAAACTTCTCAAGACGTTTATATATATTGTGTAAGGATTTTATTGAGCACTTTGTGTATAAGGAAGATACATTACACATACATCTATTATTATACCAAACACAGTCTAAATTCTTCTTATTAATTGTTCAATTGATCATTAATTTTAATGACAAATACATTGATATGTTACAGAAAATTGACATCCCTAATTGCAATTACACTGCAGAAGAAAAAATTACATTTGATCAAATACAGGACGACATTTTTGGGCTTACGTGTTTCCTTTTTTTTTCTGGTTCTGAAAACATGAAGAAACAAAAACTCAACTCTACGTAAATAGAAAAAGCCCCAATATATTCCTTACATGCTTAATCAATGAATTATTGGCAGTGCAACAAGATAAATGCTGCTTTGTTTTATTATTGAGAAGTTCACCCTGAGTGATAACCAAACTAGAAATCACTTCATCATTAAAACCCAGAATATAGTAAACCCTTACCTAACATATGCTGCTACTATTAACAAGACATATGATAAAATACCATACTGAGCATTATAAACTCATTTCTAGAAGTAATTTCTAGTTATCTGTGTTTGTATGTCTGGTTCTAGGTTTTGCAGTTCGACATTTAATTCATCAAGAACCGTTTTTAGCTCCTCTCTTGTCTTCCTAATTGTTTGCACAAATCTCATGATCTCAGACCGCAGCTCTTGCAGTTTTGCTTCATCTTTAGTTGACCCAGGGGTTTGGTTGCTTTCAGACTGAGTAATAGTTGCTGCAATTTCTGATTCTTGTTGAGTCGCTATTGAAGCATAATCTCTGCGGAGGTTGTAAATTTCTTTGGAGTCGAGGGCAATAAATAAGACGTCAACAGCTACAAAAAGTGCTGATAAAACCCCAGTAGCTGTTTCAGCCACACGAACGGCTCTCGCAGTCTGAGCTGCAACTCTCCCAACACTAGAGACTTGAGCTAAGCGGATAAGCTCTGCAATCCCTCCCAGACCTCGTCCAAGTCGAGCCCCGATATTTGCAAAATCTGCCTCAGATTGATCATTGGACCATGATTCCCCTTTTTCAGAAAGCACTTTTTGTGTTGTCACTGCAATTTGGATGTTTTGGATGCAGCTGCATGTGGATGTAATTTTTTCTTGTAACTCTGTAATGATCATTTTGATCTTTTGTCGGTCTGTGCGCTGGTTGACCATCTTTGTTATGTTGCTCGCACCAGATGCTACTCCACCAGCGACTGCTGTACCGATTCCCACTCCAGTTACTATCAGAGAAGCTCCGAGAGTGAAAGGAGCCAGAATCAGTCCAACTATAGATGTGATTCCTCCCGCCAGTCCCACTACACCTCCTGCAAGGCTGCCTACAGTTGTGTTGTAGTGGACCTTCTCGAAACCATTGGCCAACTCTTCAAGTACATTTAGGCTTCCATTAAGCTCTTTGATAGTTTGTGTGCTCTGAAAAAAATGAGTTTAATGAAATAATATTTTCTTTGACGGTTCAGTGTTTTGTTTAATTTCATTGTGCCTGTGTCTGAAACATGGTTAATTTATGACTTTAGTAGCCTAAAGGAAAACTTATGAAAACTTACATTTTAATTACTCAACTCACCTTTTCATAAAGATGATTAATGATGAAAGGCCTCATCAAGATCTCACTGACAGACGGTCGGTTTGCTGGATCGATCTGAAGTGTGTCTTTTACCAGCTGATGAAGGTCCTCAGAGAAGTCCTTAGGAAGAGCTTTGTAGGAGCAGTTGAGTATCTTTGTAATAATCTCAACTGTGCTTATTGCGGTAAACTAAATACAGACAAAAAATACAAGGTCAGTAGTTGGTTAAAAAATATATATTCACAGCAAAACCCCCAGTGTTAAAATAACACTCTGAGTGTGGATTGATATAAACACTGAAACAGTGTTAAAGTAACACTGAAGCAGTGTTAAAGTTAATGAGATAATTAAGTGAATAATTGAGTGATGATTGAGCATTATTGAAGACACCTGATGTTAACAAGCAGAATCACTGAAAGAGGAAACTGTAATTTTAAGTCACCATTGTGGAGATCAGTGTTTGATTTAGTTGGGCTCTTGAACCTTAGCTAATTAACTTTAGATTTTGTTTGACTGTTGTACTTAAGTAGTAACAGACAGATGAAAAAAGAAAAGTGTGATTTGATGATGATGGTTGTGTTTTAACATAATCATTATTTTATAATCATTTAACCTGAATCACTGAAATTATATAGGCTAATTTTTAGGTTTAGGATTTAGGTTTATTTTGCAAATTATAGTAGCACTGTCCTTGTAAGACATCATATTTTTAACCTTTTCAATGAAACAAAATGATAAATTAAAAAAAAAAATATGTATATTTATGTTGGTACACACAGACATCAAGAATTAGCGTGTGAATCACAGCAATGGTGACAAACAGATCACTTTTGAACGTGAGCTCATTATTTATTCATACAGCAATGCATGATGGGAGCCATGAATGAGTTTTGATTGGTGGCATCCAGAATGCACTGCAACATGGTTTATAACTGTTACCATTGTTGAGACTCACAGGCTGATTCTTGATGTATTTATGTCTAATAACTGCAGTATTTAGTATTTGATATGTGAAAAGAAATTCTTTGGCTTACATTGTAAAAGTTTACAATACTATGCTGTGCAAGAATAGCACCGCTTTAATTGATGGAATAATAAATCTAATTTGGGCAAATGATTGGTAAATAATGATTGCTTAAACACAACCAACACTATCTGACCACCTTTTGTTCATCTGGCTGTTATAAGTCACATACAGCAGCCAAACAAAGTTTAAAGTTAATGATTTATGGGCCAAGAGCCCAACTAAACCAAACACTGATCTCCATAATGGTGACTTAAAATTCCGATTTTCTCCTTCAGTGATTCTGCTTGTGATCATCAGGTGTCTTCAATAATGCTCAATCATCACTCAGTTATTTACTTAATTATCTCATTAACTTTAACACTGCTTTAGTGTTACTTTAACACTGCTTCAGTGTTTATATGAGTCCACACTCAGAGTGTTAATTTAACACTGGGGATTTTACTGTGATACTGATATATATATATATATATATATATATATCAGTGGACAGCTACGCTACTACCACTTCGATGCTTTAAAAACACTCTCAGAAAAAAAAGGTACAAAAGCTGTCACTGGGGCGGTACCTTTTCAAAAGGTACACTTTTTACCTAAAGGGTGCATATTGGTACCTTCATGGTACATATTTGTACAATTATGGTACCAATATGCATCCTTTAGGTACAAAAGTGTACCTTTTTGAAAAGGTACCGCCCCAGTGACAGCTTCTGTACCTTTTTTTCTGACATAAGGTTCATAAAGCCTACACTCAGACATTCATGGTTTCTGCAGCCACCAGCCACCTACCCCAGTAGTTCATGATTAACTTACCAGTTGTGGCGCACCCCCTACTCAGCCAACACTTACACTTCTGCTTTGCATGCCCTCACCATTGTGACGGTAAGACAGCCCTCCTTGACTCCCCTGTCTGTCCATTGGGCCTATTGGGTTCTGCACAGCTGCTTTCCTTTTTGTAAATGCAAGATCACTAGATCTCACAGTCGTAGCGATGTTATTACTTCTGTGGCAAATTCAAATGCTTTGTTTAATTGATCTGTGTGGTAATAGTGTCGCTTTATCAAGATCGCCTTGCGCTGCACTGACATTGGTCCAAACTGATAAATGGTCCGTGAAGCACAAATGAAAAGCACAGTTTCGTTCCACCTTCAGTACGTTTGCTATTTGATGTTAGGCAACGTTGTGGTGTACGTGCCAATCTCACGCTCTCATCCACACACAAGAAATGTCCACCAAAATCCATTTTCTCCCCTCTCAATCCGTTAATTTTCTGTTGATGACTAGACCACAGCGTATTAATGACAGGAGAGGAGTTTAAGGCCCACAGCTGTAACATCTGCCTACAGCGTTCTCACGGCAGTATTCTCTGAATGTTGATTCGCTGAAAACCGTCAGTTGCGTGTTCAGAGCACAGGTTCGGAGTCAGAGTCCACTGATGCACGTTTGAAAGTTTGGATGACAATCACGGTAAGCAGCAGAATCAGAAAATAAAATGGTGTGCTTTGTCACTGTGACGTAGGCTCATGGTACAAATTACGTTTTGGCAAATTGGGCAAGTGGAATTTTAAAATTCAACAATTTAGCAATGGCATTTGTTGAACATTCGATATAATATAAAACATTCTATTTAATGACATTCTCACCTTTAATTTGCCACTAAACTGTCATAGATTTAAAAAAAAAATATTAACTCTAGATCTTTAGAAAAGCGTACATTTGTAAATTTATATAAAAGAATATTTTTTTTTTGCAATATATAATTTATTGTTTTATTTAAGCATAACATTAAAACAAACATGCTCAATATCTAATGAAATAAAATCATACCGCACACTTCCGCATGCACATCTCATAGATGACACATCCCAGACTCCAAATCTCACTGTAAAAATATGAAGATTATGAAGATTACATTTTGAAATGTATTAAGATAATAATATAAACATTGAAAATGGTATGTTATTACGATTTCTCATCAAAAGGTCTGCCATTCAAATTCTCAGGTGCAACGTATGAGATAGCTTTTGTTTCTGTTGTCTGTGCGTCAGCGGACCTGTAGATAACAGAAATGCATGGTTCAGATCATAATGCACATGGACTATTTCATTTATTACGTGTCATTTTACATACAAGTCATGTTTTAAATCAAAGGAGCACATTCATTACCATTCATTAATCTGTCCAAACTCTCCAAGACGAATGGTTCCACATGCAGTGAAAAATATGCTCTGCCATAAGAAAACACACATTGAGTATGTTATAGCTTACTCTACTTTAGAAAATTCACCTCTATTTTCTGAACCCATGTTTATTTATAAACATTTTCATTTCATGCCAGCTTTAACTGTATTGCATTCATACCTTGGGCTGCAGGTTTTTATGTAGGATCTGTTGATCATGCAGGTGCTTCAATGCCATGCAGATCTTCACAGTCCTGTCCAGAATCTGTAAATATATAAAATATGAAATTACAAATGTGGAAAACTCTTCTTGACACGGTAAGGTACTTTACAATCAAAACTGATTGGCAAGCAGCTCCATACGGAGTTGTCTTGGGAGGCGAATTTTTTTAGTTTCAAAAAAAAGTTTTGCCGAATAAAAAGATTGGCATGGACTAAACGGCTCCACGGCCAGCACCGTCTTTGATTCAATACAAGGACAAGTTGGATTGCTGCCATAGTTGATTAGATCATTGCTAAGCCACAACATTGTCAACATACAAATTTGACCTGTATTGTGCTATGCTGATTCCTAAAGACTGCTGCACGATAGTGTTTTGAGCTCAAACAACGCTAAGAGAAAGCTTACAAATGGTCCATACCAACCTTATGAAAGTGTGACTTACAGGAGATATACTTGGCATATGAACGTGTCGGGAATCGAGTGAGGTTAAAGGGTTAGTTCACCCAAAAATGAAAATTCTGTCAGTATTTACTCACCCTCATGTTGTTCCAACCCCGTAAGACCTTCGTTCATCTTCGCAACACAAATTAAGATATTTAAGATATTAAGATCGCTCCTGCATACTAGTCCATAGGCTTCTTGAGGGAATGACTCTTGCTGTCCTCGAAAAGTCATTAAAGACATCGTTAAAATAGTCCAAGTGACTACAGGGGCTCAATCTTAACTTTATCAAACGACGAGAACACTTTTGTGCGCAAAAAAACAACAAAAATAACGACTTTATTTCAACTATTGGTTTATTTCTCCCTCTGCGCGAGTCAGGTTACTAGTTTAATAGCGTAAGCTTCTGTTATTGTACGTCACACGCATCACACACATGACCAGCGTCGGCCAATAGTGAGCCTACGTGTGACGTAGCTCTACGCAATCACACTACGTTAACTGACTACAGGCCCATGGAGAAGGAAGTGAATAGTTGAAATAAAGTCGTTATTTTTGTTGTTTTTTTGCGCACAAAAGTGTTCTCGTCGTTTGATAAAGTTAAGATTGAGCCGCTGTAGTCACTTGGACTATTTTAACGATGTCTTTAATGACTTTTCGGGGACAGCAAGAGCCAGTACCTCAAGAAGCCTATGGACTAGTATGCAGCGATCTTAATATCTTAAATATCTTAATTTGTGTCCCGAAGATGAACGAAGGTCTTACGGGGTTGGAACAACATGAGGGTGAGTAAATACTGACAGAATATTCATTTTTGGGTGAACTAACCCTTTAAGGAATACGTGAAGAACTACTTAGAGATAAGAACTTTTTTGGGGAACCGGGCCCAGAAGATTTAGTGCGAAGATCATTAGTTATTATATTATGCTGCTAACACAACAAAAGGTTATCTCCATGCAGACCTAAAAAACACAAACCCGCTAACACAGACGTCGTTCACATGCAATTCACGTGTTTAGTTCATGAGTCAAACAAACAAACGTTGGGTTTAGATGTCAACCCGACTTTCATTATCAACCAAAATATGACGTCCGACTGATTTTGGATTAGTCCAGCGTGTCCAGTGTTTGTTGGGACTTGATTAGTTGGTCACCATCAAATCAAAATGGACAATTCTTGTTTTGTTTTTATAATGCAATATTGCAATTATTATTTATTATAAAGATTTATTTGTGCACATTTTTTTATTCATGTGCCCTCATGATATTTCATCTAATGAACTCTTGCAGAGTAATCTCTTCTCTGATGACGTGTTTACGCTGAGATCCCAGCAATAGCAAACCACGATGATCCAGCCATCCAATTCCCACCGCCCTACGTTTTAATTTCTTTACCGAGAAGTTGTTTCACTAAATTACAGTATATGGCAAAAAAGACTATTACATCTTTCATTTCATGTCAACTTTAAAAAAAAACCTAAATCACCCTAAAAGTTAAACACTGCAACAATCACAAAATTAGTTCATATTTACAGATAACATGTGCAGATAAATGTTTTAATGTAAGTTTAACAGTTTATAATAGGTTAAATTTCACCATGTGTAAATCTACAAACATACCTCATTAGAAATAACCTTTTCCTGTAGTTTTGTTATCTCGGCGAGATCTCCACCCTCGCAGTGATCCAGTAAAACATACAAGCTGTCGGGTTCTGAAAGCAGATTCATTCATTACAGTGTGCTTTAAAATGATTTATTAATATTTACACCTAATGTGAATACTGTATATGCCTGGATGAAGATGAAAAGTGTGACTTTTAAAGTTTCTTTTAACCTCTGATGATTTCCTTGTGCTGGACGATGTGTGGATGATTGAGCTTTTGGAGAAAGTTTGATACGTCATCCTAAAAACAGACAGACACAGACTGTGTGTATCAGAATTTCTGTCTTTAATTTAAATAACATTACAAACAAAGTGTCCGTCTTACCTCGTTAGCATTCAGCTTTTTAACGACAAACTGATCACCATCTTTATTTTTCACCAGCATCATCTTGTTTTGTTCACTCACTAGTTCGTAGCCACTAGCTTGCAGAACTGACTGTTCGCTCCCCATCTCTGAACGTTTAACTGTTTAAGAAAGCATTTAATTCTGTGTTTGTAAGATTTTTTAAAGACCATAATAAACAAATTGTTGATGTTGCCAGACCAGTTTAACATGGTACACCAGAATAACATCACACACGTTTGTATGAATATCTATTGATATTCAAATGCAGTAAATGAATACTTCAATAATTAGCCTTTTTTATGTATGCAATTTAATTAATAGTAAAATTCATACGCAGTTTATTTAAATAATTCAGTAAGGATTGTTATTCAAATCAATTACAAAGTGATTATTAAATTCAAATTTTAAGTAATTTTCGTATTAATTAAATTACAAAAATCTTAAAAATAAATGCTTGAATTGTTTTTGAGTGCACCTTCTTCCTGATCTCTCTCTCTCTCTGACTAAAATTCAGTAATTTAGCTGACTAAAGTAAATAAAGACAGTAATTTGTCTTACCTGAACAATGTAAAAAACTGAGAGTGTTTAGTTCTTCAGGTGCCCCTGTGTTTAAAAATGGTGCAATTTTTAGTATTTAGTATTTTTTTGTATTAAATAAATGTAGTAGTATTATTCCCTTCTTCTTTTAAGACTTAGAGAAGATCTCTGTATGACCCACTGAACATAACCTGTCTCCAAATGCAGTAGCCGAGGGATATTTATAGCTAATGTAAGGTAAATGAGGAAGTGGCACACAGGTGAAAGTATCTCATGTTATTTGTGTGCGATCACGTGATCTTCATAAAATAGTCACGATGCAACTTTTGGCAAACATCTCATTCATTTCATAATCTTCGTCATTTTGGGACTGCACTCATGATAATCTGTTTGTTATGGTGATCTTTTTATATTTCCATGTACAATCACTTTGTACAATTACAAACTATAAGGTAAATATTCTTGGACTGTTGAAAGTTATCTGTAGTGAAACCTATATTATATCATTTAAGAAATAAAAGTATTTCTTAAAGTGAAAAATCACAGAAATGTGAATTTGGAGAAGGGCTTAGAGTGGCATTTGGCAAGGGAATTTACTGTATATTGTCTACATGTTTAAATAGTAAATAAAGCAGATGCACTTTAACTCTGGAACGCAACATCATGCATCAATGAATTATGAAATTATGAAACTTTTTCAGTAGTTCTCTGGGAAGCATAAAAAAGTAGTAATGAGTAAATAGAAAGTGCCACTCTCATCTGTGCACTATTACTAATTTGTTAATCAGAGTTTGTTTTTATTTGTTAATTTTTAGCTAGTTACTAGATTGTTAATCGACTTTTTCAGTAGTTCTCTGGCAAGCATTAAAAAGAAAGTAGTTATTGATTAGTTAATAGTGAAGTACCTCATTCATCTGTGTGCTATTACTTAATTTGTTAATCAGAGTTTCTCGTTTGTTAAGTAAAAGTACAAATAACCAGATAAATATTTACTTAAGTAAAAGTAGAAGTAACACAATGACAACCATACTTACGCAAAAAGTAAAAAGTACCTGATTTAAAATGTACTTTAAATATTAAAAGTAAAAGTACTTGCATAATTTATTTTCTTAATGTCTATTTTCTAATGATTAATAAAACATTTAATTCTAACTCATTCAAACTAATACTCTTATAATGATGTTCAATAATGATGGGAAAAAAATGTCACCATTTCTGAAACAAGCTTGCAATTAGGCAATATACACATCATGCTTATCCTTGCTATATGTTAATAACTATGTTTGGCATTAAACGCGATTAATTTATGGTGTAATTCTGAACCTCTTGGCTTGCCATAATTCTAACCAAACGTATATTACACACGGTGCGTTTCCTATGCACGTAAAAACTAATTTTCGCGTATAAATTGCACGATAAACACACTGCGTGCGAGACGGATTTAGTGTGATCGGGTTGATATACTGTATCTATGGCAACCAAACGTCACTGGTGAGACAAACGTGCAACGGACGGACGGTCAGATTACGTTTTGGCAGGGGAAAAACTGATCAGAAAATGTAATGAAAAAAGTAACAGAAGTTGTAGAAATGTAGTGGAGTAGAAAGTAGAATAATTGCTGCAAAATGTAACAAAGTAAAAGTCCTCTATGATGGACTAAAGGGGGAGCCCGATCCACCTCAGAGTTTGCAGAAATACGTTGATGGTTGTAGACGTCGGTTATTCTTAGCTGGTCAAATGGCTAAGGACAATTTGTTGAATAAACAAAAAAAGATGAAGCGGATGTTTGATCGAAACACAGAGCTTCGTGTGTTTTGCCCTGGTGATCAGGTGTTGGCTCTGTTGCCTCTTCCAGCTTCCCCATTCTGTGCGAAGTTCTCTGGTCCGTATACAGTGGTACGTCAAGTTTCCAACCAAAATTACTTGATCTCAACGCCTGAGCGGAAAAAAAGGCACACAGTTGTGCCATGTCAACTTTTTATCCTCGTCCTTTGGCGTCAGAGAAGGCTCCTGTGGCAGTGGCTGTTGCTTCATCTGTAATGGAAGTCGCTGAGGATGTCAAGGCACCTGAAGATGGCATGCTCCTACAACTCTGAAACGCTTAACAACTTGGAGAATTTTGTACAACATTTGCCTTCTCATCAGAGAACTGAATTGTTAGCTTTGATTTCAGCTTTCCCTATGTTGTTTTCAGATTCTCCTTCACGCACTCATTTGTTAGAACACGATATAGATGTCGGTGACGCAAAACCAATACGTCAGCGTTTTTATCGTGTTTCTTTGGATAAACAACGTCATCTTGATTCTGAGATTAAATATATGGTGGAAAATAACATCGCTAAACCTTCCTTTGCAAGCTGGGCATCACCTTGTTTATTGGTGGGGAAGTCAGATGGGTCGTACCGTTTCTGTACTGATTACAGGAAGGTAAACAACATAACAAAACCGGATTCTTTCCCATTGCCCCGAATGGAAGATTGTGTAGATTCTGTTGGTTCTGCAAAGTATGTCAGTAAATTTGATTTATTGAAAGGATATTGGCAAGTGCCTTTGACCACTCGTGCACAGGAGATTGCGTCATTCATTACCCCTTCTGGGCTATACTCTTATTCGGCAATGAGTTTTGGCCTTAGAAATGCGCCCGCTACTTTCCAGCGGTTGATGAACCGTGTGACCTCTGGGTTGAAGGGTTGTGCGGTTTATTTAGATGATGTGGTTGTATACAGTGACACGTGGGATCGAGCACTTTTTGAGCGTTTGGCAGAAGCTAGGCTCACGGTCAACTTGGCAAAGTGTGAGTTTGCCAAGGCGACTGTGACCTATTAAGGGAAGGTAGTTGGGCAGGGTCAAGTGCGTCCCGTGCGCGCTAAGGTCTTGGCCATTGATAATTTTCCTCCACCTAACACAAAACGAGAGCTTATGCGGTTTCTGGGTATGGTGGGCTATTACAAAAACTTTCGCTCAAATTTTTCTTCAGTGGTAGCTCCGTTAACCGATTTGTTGAAGAAAAGCGTAAAGTTTGAGTGGACTTTGCAGTGTAAACAGGCTTTTGAGAATGTGAAGCTGTTGCTTAGCACTGCCCCTGTGCTAGCTGCTCCATGCATTGGACATCCTTTTCAGATCCAGGTTGACGCCAGTCAAGTTGGGGCTGGAGCGGTACTTTTACAAATTGATGAACAGGGTATAGAAAGACCAGTCTCTTATTTCTCTAGAAAGTTTAAGTCCCACCAGCTGCATTATTCCACCATTGAAAAGGAGGCATTAGCGTTGATTTGGGCTTTGCAGTTTTTTGAAGTCTATGTGACAAGTGGCATTTTTCCAATTGTGGTATTTTCAGACCACAATCCACTTACCTTTTTGCACTCTTTGCAGAGCCCAAACCAGCGTCTGATTCGGTGGTCTCTCTTTTTGCAACCCTATCCTTTGGAGATTAGACACATAAGAGGTGTAGAAAATGTTCTGGCTGATGCTTTATCTCGTGCCCCGTGTGAGAGTTCTTGCGACCGATTCGATTTATTTTTTTTTTTTTTTGCTCATCTGTAACTGGTTTTTCCTAGGTGCCAGGAGTTGCTGTATTCCAGTTTCAAGGGGGGAGCCAGATTAAGGAAGCCATATGCAGGGTTAGTTATAAGGATTTTGAGTTTGGTGGTGTTATTAATTTTTTGTTAATTAAGAATTAACAACTTGTTTTTGTTAGAGGTCCTTTGTAAGGAACCTCTTTCTTAAGAGGGGAGGTGTTATGGGGGGTGTATTTTGTTTTGTTATTATTTCTTGTTTGGCAGGTCGTGGTGGAGATGAGGAACATCTGATTCAAATTAGGAGGTGGAGATATAGGTTCCGGTGTCATGCATGGAGAGAGGCGCATACGGGGAAATTACATCATCCACTGTTCGTCTCTTGTGCTCTTGGTGATAGCTGGATTTGGACGACTGTCGGCATTTCGGAAGACTCCTAATGGCTTATCAGCCTTTATTGCACTTTGTGAAACCCCTAGTTTTATTCAATAAACTACGTTGGTTATATTGATCGCTCGTGTTGGTTTCCTATATTGTTGCGGCCACGAGTACAAATACTGAAGCCCTCAGAACTCATGCATTGTTTTGTTCTTGTAATTATATATTCTAGAGTGTTTTTCCAGAAAGCATCGTTGGCCAGCTGGTCACAAGTTCTGTTGTTATCAGAAGAGGACGAGTTTCTTGTTTGCATATGAACTCAATAAATCCTTATCCTGAGGAATATTACCAAGCTGACATTCAGTACAATCTGTTTGATCTAGAATACATACCAGCTAGTCAGTTAACCACGGCTCTGCATCATGACAAAATCTCCCGTGTTAAACTAACACACCTGGGAGTGTATATGAGTCCACAGTCAAGAGTGTTAAAGATTATAACAGCAGACACACTGTTATGTGTGTGTACTGAGCGATTAGTGTGTGTGCTATTTCTTTTGAGTTTACAGATGGCGATGTAGAGTTTGTATAGCGGGAAGCAAAGTGACGTCATGGGAGTTCCTGCTATTTAAGCGGTGCCGGCTCTGATGTCGCTCTCTCTCACAGCTCTCTCAGATCTCCTCTTCTCTCCGCCTACGGCCGCCTGATTACCAGCTGGGGTTTTCTCGCCTTGCGGCGTGATCACCTGTGTTTGTCGTCTCGCCATGCGGGAGCGAGGCGAATTATTGTTTTCTTTTGGTTCTAGTTTATTTGTTTAAACCAGGTAGTGGCTTTATTTTCTTTGAACACTTTTTATTATTTATTTAGTATAGTGAAGGGAAGCAGCTGCCCGGAAGATTCACCCGTTTTATTTCTTTTCGGGAGCCAGGTAAGATCTCTCCCGAATGAAGTACAGGGTTAGTCAGGGTATCTGTTTTTCCTTTATCGGCCCTACCTGTGTTACTTATTTTGATTAATTTATGATTTATTGGTTGCTCATCTCTCAAGGCCTCTCTTATTAAAACTATGGTGTGTTAACGTCAGAAACATTACCCCAATCGTCTGTGATTTCTATATGTTCGGTCCTTTGTCTATGGGAGAATTTGAAACGAGCTGAAGTAGATTAAGGGCTGTAACACACACATAATTTAAAGTGAAAGGAAAAGTGTCAAGAGCCCAACTAAAGCAGACACTGATCTCCATAACGGTGACTTACAATTTGTGATTTTGTCCTTCAGCGATTCTGCTTGTGATCATCAGGTGTCTTCAATAATGCTTAATCATCCCTAAATTGATCACTTATTTATCTCATTAATGGTGAAACTTCAAAAATGGTGCTTTAAATGAACTTTACTGGGAGTTTCTTTGGATCCAGACTCAAGAGTGTTAAAGTTAATGAGATAATTAAGT